GGTTGTATCGGCGGTGGCGGCTTCGGCGGCAATGGCGGCAGCGGGGGGGAGGGGGGCGACCGGGGGAGAGCCGAGGCGGCGAGGAGCCGCGCGAGCGTAGTCCAGTGCTGCGGCCTATGAGTGGCATGAAGCTTGGAGTGTGTGCGAGCGAGCGAGCCTGAGTGAGTCTCGGCGGCGCAGACTGCGAGGGTCTGCCGACTCGGTCCGTCTGAGTGTGCCTGAGATCTTCCGTGCTGGTGCGCGTGTCGCGAGGAAGAGACTGTTGCGTTCGCCTTGTAAGGCCGACCGCGGCGTTCCAACCCTAGCCGCGATTTTAGCAGCGGCAGTAGCTTCGTGGAAGTCCCGGGACTGAGGAGTGAGCGCGAATCACTGTCGGCCAACTATTGGGCGGCAAGAGGAACAACGAAAGGGCATAATAGAGGAGGAAGACCTTGAAACTCTGTATACGTAAAAAACGACAAACCGTCAAAGAGGCTGATAGTGGAGACGGAGACGAGGAGTCGCTCTGACTGTCGGGAGCCAAACGCACACACCATCCGTACGTGCGTGCGAGCGACAACCTACACACACTCACCCACCCACACGCGAACACACGCACACGCGCACGCACTATATCCATATATATATATATATATATATATATATACATATATATATATATATACATATATATATATATATATATATATATATATATATACATATATATATATACAACCGCGCGCACTCGACACACAACATACATGCATGCAATTGTCAGTCTATATATATATAGTACGTGTATATAAATATATAAATATATATATGCGTGCATATATATTTATATATGCATTTATAGGCAAATGGATAGACAGATGTAGATGAATAGATAATAGATAGATATATAGTATCTCACGCGTATATGCTTATATACGTGACATACGATCACGCATACCTGTATACGTTTCGAGTGCATATGTGAGAGAATAAGTGGGAGACAAAAAGAGAGAGAGAGAGAGAGAGCGATTGACTGAGCGAGCGTGTGCGCGCGCGCGTGTCTGTTTGCGTGTGCGAGGAGACGAAGTGAATGAGAGAGAGAGAGAGTGAGTGAGAGTGAGTGAGAGTGAGTGAGTGTGATCGAGTGTGAGTGAGCGAGCGAGCGAGTGAGCGACTAAGTGAGAGAGGGAGAGAGAGAATAATAGAGAGAATAAGTTCCCTTTTATTTTGTCGTCGTACTTTAACAGCGAGGTACGCATAAAAGCGAAGATAAGGAGCGGGAGAACGTTGTGGTCGTCGTCATCGTCGACAAATGTAGTTTGGTGCATAAGTCCGTGGAAAGTTGGAGCGTGCCAGTCTCCTTTTGACTTGAAAGCGAAGCGAGAGAACGAGACGAGGAGACAAAGAGGAAAGTAGCAGCAACGGCGGCACGGCATAACCTCAAAACGAGTGTGCGTGAGTGCGTTACGTCGTCATCACCGTAGTCGTGCTCGCGGCACAGTTCGTTCGGCTCTTGAATTTTCGCGAGTGCGAGAAATAGAAGATTGGTTCGAAGGAGATAAAGAAGACAGCGAGCGAATACGCGGGAGAAGCACGGGAGAGTATCGCGGTGCTTCCCGGTTGATGGATGAGACTAGGAGGATGCTGCAACACGGTGGATCTGGGGTCGGTTTGATGGGTGGTAATCAGGGCCAGGGGGCCCAGAACACCGGGGGCTACGGGGGCATGGGGCCCGTCGACGGCTCAGCGGCCCAGGGGCCCGACCAAGCGGTCGAGGCTAGGAAGCAGGACATCGGCGACATTCTACAGCAGATCATGAACATCACCGATCAGAGTCTCGACGAGGCCCAAGCGAGGTACGGTCGATGCCCTTCCGTCCTTTTTTCTCCTCCTTCTTTTCCATCGAAAGTGCGAAAGAGACGCGAGTGCGCGACTGTTCGCGAGCCTGTGTGCGTGATTCGACTCCTGCGTCCGATAACAAAGGATCTGAGATTTTGTTTATCGCGGCTCAGTCGAGGCCGAGTGCTTGCTTTTAGTACGGAGGTTGGGCAATCGGTGTGCAAGTCGGGGATCTCTATTTTCTATTACGTTCGCGTTGTTGGAAATTTGCAAATAATTGGCAAAATTTTCTCATCCGCCACGGCTTCGAACGACCTTTGAAAGATTAACGAGTGCTTCTTTCGTATAACTCGCGCGCGCACCCCGGGCACAACATTAAAGCGCAAATTAAATTTTTCTTATCATAATTTTGCTTTCGTTTCCGTGGTTAATTTTCACTAATTATTTATTTATAAATAAAATACCGAACAATAAAGAAGAAAAAGAAGAAAAGACGTGGGTAAATAATAAGAATGCAAGACAAATCGCCCACATACACACTTATAATACAATGGCAATCGAGTGAAATTTCGGTATGAGTTTTCGATTCATAATTTTTTAAAGGTTAACACACATGCATTGACTTTGTTTAAATGCTCACTTTTCATTTTTAATACCGGCAATAAAAATCCTAACGTTTTCAATAAACTTGTAAATTGTGGCTTTAAATAATATAACAGTGAGCGGAGTAATTAATTTCCAACATTCTAAACTAAGTACAAATATTAATAATTCTTTATAAGAAAGAATATCCAATAATCCATATTAAATATTGTTAAATTTATTTTCAGAAAGCATACTTTAAACTGCCACAGAATGAAACCAGCTTTATTTTCGGTGCTCTGCGAGATCAAGGAGAAAACTGGTAAATAAGAAAAAGAACATTTATAACTTTAATCTTTTTTTATGATCCCGTCACGGGATCCTTGTATCAATTCGGTAGCACGACGTATATATGTTTATTGTATGTATATTTGACGGTGCGCATTAAGTTTGTCGTTGCTGAAGGCGCTATTGTCAAAATTGTTTGATAAACGTAAGCCTTATCACTAGATGTCGGCGATATGACTGCTCGTGAAATATCAGCGCTGCTTTCCCACCCAACGCTATTCCCATTCACGTTTCATTAAAATTATCGCAGCACTTGTCGGTACATTTGTTTTACAATAAAAAGGCAAATATTCTTTATTGTATTCGATGTTATCTTGCGTATACAGAAAAAAAATTCCCAGCGATTGTCTTTCATTAACAAAACGCAAAATTTACGCCAAATGAAACGCGGCATATTATCACTTTCATACGGGTAAAATGCAATTTTTTTTTTTTTTTTTTTTTTTTTTTTTTTTTAAATTAGCTTCGGTTACGCGCTGAATTAATTGGCGTAGGGTGGGTGGGGACGTTAGTATGCCGCGTAATCGTATTTCTTTAGTAAAACCAATAAAGCCAGAATGAAATTGTCGATTACTACCGTCGAGACGGTTGAACGGCATATAATAATCTATGTATCTCAATGTAATAGGAGGCAGCATTTGCCGCATATTCATTAGTAATATACAATCTTTCATTTTGGCCAGATATCGTTGCGTTCCAGCCTCGGCAATGGCTTGCCTCAATAGGTCGATTAAAAGACAAGCGTATCCAGTTGTCAAGCCTCCAAGAAATAAAGAACGGCAACGCGTGCACCAATAAAATAAAAACAAACGAGAATCCGAGCGCGTCGTAAAAAAAAGTAGGGACCCGCGAGAGGATAATGAAATTGAAAATTCTATCGACTACCGAGCGCCTCCTCGGGTGTCGTTTACACTGCAGTCGACTGGTTGCTCCTACTCCCTTATCCTCCCCTCCCGGAAAACCATTCGAAGCTCGTAAACATAATTTTTATGCGCCACTCGGATTGCTTTGGGCGCGAATCGAGCGACCGCGAAAGACGCAATTATTTTCGCGCGAATCGAGCCGGGGGACAATGTAGGCTCGGCAGTGGCTCTCCCCTAGGAGAAAAGCCATGGGGGGTGGGGGACCGAGCCCAAGTGTCTTGCGACGCGGCGCGTTCCGCACCACGCCCCTCGCGTACACGCGTATCCTCGATGTGCATCTGTAAGTCTCCCTTCCCCCCCCCCTCCATACCTCCCCCCTCACCCGCTCAACCGCTCGCTCCTTTAGCCCCCTTTGCTAGCTACTATCGCTATTGCCACTCCCCATCCCGTCACCCCTCCCGTCTACGGTGTGTGTCTGAGCTTCCTTGGCGCGCGGGCTGCGTATGTCCTACGTACGTCTCACCCCTCCCCCTCCCCGTCCAAACCAAATTGGCATCCTTGGGACCTTCGGTCGTTTCACTGGGCTCGCGTGTTGCCCCAAAGCGTATGTACGATTGTTTCTTGCGGCCGGTAAAAATCCGTGAACTTGGGCCGTCGAAGCAGAGTAGGATGAAAATATATGTCTATACGCCCGAATGGAAAATTAACTTTCACCACTGACCAATGTAAATGGCTGACCACTCGGGCCGATTTCTTTCCTTCGCTTTTTCTTTTGAACGGGGGAGTCAGTCTTTGCCTGCTCCTTGGTTGCTTCGTTGCTTATTCGTAATTACGCCGATGATATTTTGAGCTGTAAGATATTTATTTCACTGATTTTTAGAAAACAAAATCACTTGCAGTTGCATGTTTTATCGTACTATGTTATTTATAACATTTCGTGTGGTTTTACAGTTTCCAATGCTTGTTCAATTCATTGAATAGAACGTAACAGAAATTATGATTTTAAACGCTAGAATAATATATATACTTTTAGATTTTTAGCTTTTCGATGTATGCCATTGCTTAGTTAATGTGTACTTCAAACTGAAACTTCAATGGATATTTATCTAAATGAATATTTATCTTTATTTTACTTTGAATCAGGTGTTTTCATATTTTAAAACTATATAAGTTAAATATGGATGAGAATCCTACTTAAACTTTTACTAATATTTAACTTTTTAAATCCCGTTAAGCCGAAATTTGCATCGTTGTAACAATACAATAAGTAAGCATTAACCAAAATTTCCTAAACATATTTTAATAATAAAGTACAAAAAGTCAATTACGTGCCTAATTATGATATCTTTAATTTATTTACAATGTCATTTCATGCGTTTCAAAACTATGTAATTGTCCTTCAATTTATAAATATGAATTGTTACTTGGATTTAGATGATATCTGAAATAAATCGAGTACAAAATTATAAAATCTTCAACCCTAAATTATTCAATTGGCATTCACAATGCTTTGAATCTATGCTTGGCTCTCTTCTTTAAGAAATAAAAATAATACAAGAAAAAAAGTAGATAATTTATTTTATAGCAAATGCTTTGGCGAATAAAAGAGATGAAAGAGCACGTTTGAGGGTAAACGAGCCTCGGAGTAAATGACGGGGACTGGCGTAGGAAAGAAATTAAAGGGCTGGAGAGAGAAACAAGAGCTGGGAAAGCTTAGTGAGATGGCATGGAAAAAGAATACAGAAAGAAAGATAAAGATAAAGTGAGAGACGGTGGTGTTCTAGTAGCGAACACTAGGAGAGTTTATGGGCAATGGCTGACGAGGCAGTGAAAAAGTAGTAAAACCGAGAAGAGCAGATAAACGCTATGTTAAGCAGACCGTTTTACCAGCCGTTTAATATAATCAACGTGCGAGACGCGAGGTGGAATAACTTTAGATCAGTAATCCTCTCTCCCTCCCTCGTGACGATCATCACGATCTCTCTCTCTCTCTCTCTCTCTCTCTCTCTCCTAGTGCTCAGCGTGTCGCCAATATGTCTTTTACATTAGTGTAAGGGCCTCCTCTCTATGATTGTTTATACGGTTTATTATGGCTCTTTTGTTTAATAAAATTCATCGTTAGCCGCGGTAAGGTTTTTCAGAAATCCGACGAATGAAAGGGTTATTGTTATCCAAGCAATTTATAAATAGCTTTTAACAGTCTATCTTATTCAAATAATTATAAATTTAATATACTTTACATATAAAAGTCACATTTTAGCTCTTTAAAATTCTTCTTTTTTTCTTTTAATTATTATTTCCTTCTGGCGGCAAGTAATATTAAATAGTGTGAAAATATTAAAAGCAATCGCATAAATCGACAATGATAACGTAAAATATCATAGTAATTTAATGATTATAGCTGAATATGCAATAGTACATTATGCTGGCAAGATCGGCGTGACTTAAACTACTTCAAATTGTTAATTCATTAGAATATTTAGGAATGCATTGCTCGACACTTAATGAGCATTACCGAATTGTCAACTGTTGCTAAGCACTTATCTTTCATTCCAACTAATCTACCAAAAGGACATTTATGATTAGTTTTAAACTAATGGTTCTCACTTCGGTTACCACTAACGAGTTTAACATTAACATAATAGTATGGAAGTAATCAGCCTTAATTATTTGTTATTAATTACGATATTTAAAATGAATTGAATGTTAAATAGTCGATAGTGATATAAGTATCGCGATAATATGCCATTTCATTGCATAAATTTTAGTGTTTTTCAAGTTTAAATTACTATCGAACCCTCTCGTAAGGGAAAATAAGTAATGAGTATATCTGTATATATATATATATATATATATATATATATAGTTACATCTGTCTAATTCAGCTCTTTAAAATACCTACCAAAGCTATTTATGAAAAATAAAATTAACACATCTGCCGTATTAAAATTGATAAACAATAAATGAAGTAAATCCAATTTGAAACATTATTTTACGTGCCAATTTTCACTTTGCAATTTCTTGCGCCTTAACTAGCCTAACGACACACTAAGAGTCAAACAATGCATGTACGCGTATGTCTTTTTAGATGTTCCCGGCCATTTTCAACGGTGCGCCATTCTCCCACGGGACGACGACTCGAATGTCTCGTATGTGTAGGCCCGGCTGGAGATCAGAAAACCCACAGGCTTTTCCAAATCCTAATCCTCTTTCTACGCTTTTTTTCTTTCCCTTTTGTCGCTGGGTCTGCCTTTTTGGACGCCCTTTGGCAGCGGGTTTTGTTAGATCTCGACTAGACCAGATTCGTTCAACTTGGTCTAATAATAAGTTACTTTCCATCTCTCGTACGTCCCCCGTATCTCACACTCTTAATCTTTCTTTCTCTTTCTCACATGCACAGCGCTAAATACAAACTTTTCTAAATATATTTTATTCAGTAATTCTGAAATAACTTCGATTTATTTTTAAAAATTATGAAAATTAATGTTTTTCAAAAAATATCTACGTTTACGATATATATATATATATATATATCTAGATAAGGAAAAATACGAATTTTTAAATTTCATAATGCATAGGAAGTTGTAAATTAAACTAGTTAAAATTTATTCGTTCGATTCACATTCGTATTGATTAAACTCTATAAATATAGTTTGGACAATTCATTAAAAATATAGTTAAAACAAGAAATTCAAAGCTTCTCTCTACTCAGGCTACATACTATTCATATGAAATTTACATGAACAAAATAAACAGACTTAGTAATAATTCCATGTATAAATTAGCTGTGCTATTTATTTATAATATTGATTCAGGCATATTTACCGAGATCCATTATTAAATAAAGGGTTTATTTAACTTTATTCTACGATTAATTATATAAATTATACTTTGTATAGTGTATGTGACAATTTATTCTAATACATGTTACGCACTTGTGTATCATTCATTGCCAATATCTTTTGACAAAGGTAATATACTTGATAATGTACGCCTCTGTGCTTCTATTAAAATAAATTATTCCATAAGTATAATAATAAATTTTCTTTGATTGTATTAAATTCCAGTTCATTTTGTGTTAGTTTAATATATATATATTTTGTAAATGTAT